AAAACATAAACATAAGCATACCAATCATCAAAGTAAATACAAAATGCTAGTATAGTTATTTAAAATCATTATATAACTAAAGTAGAACAAATCAACTTGTTGCTGTAAGTCTCTGAATATAAAATAACATCACTCATATGTGCCATACAGCTCTAATAAAAATAAAAGATTTAAAAAAACAACAACAGACATTGGCCCTGGTGATAGCCTCAATAAAGCATCAAACGGCACAGTGACAACCAAAAAGGACCATTATTGACCCTGACCACACGAGTTTCGGCCCACTGGCCTTCCTCAAATATCAAACAAATGATATTACAGAACGTCTCCTGACATTACAACGCTACAATAATTTCTTATAAATTGACCAAGATGAATTTTTTTGACGATTACTGCCTGTGACCAAAGGCAAAGATATTAATCAGAGGCCTCATTCTCGATCGTTGGCCTGCCATGGTCAGGTACACTGTCCTATAGGAATGGTTCCGTTGTGTACCTTTCCCGCTTGGTTGGGAAAACCTGATGCAGCCAGGAGCCAACAGCGATGTAATAGTACTAAAAGATTTTTTTTTAATAGTAATAGCACTAAAAGATTTTTAAAAAAACAACAACAGACATTGGCCCTGGTGATAGCCTCAATTAAGCAGCAAACGGCACAGTGACAACCGAAAAGGACCATTATTGACCCAGACCACATGCGTTTCGGCCCACTGGCCTTCCTCAGTGGTCAAACAAAATGATATTCCAGAACGTCTCCTGACATTACAACGCAACAATAATTTCTTATAAATTGACCGAGATGAATTTTTTTTGACGATTATTGCCTGTGACCAAAGGCAAAGATATTAATCAGAGGCCTCATTCTCAATCGTTGGCCTGCCATGGTCAGGTACACTTTCTTATCGGAATGGTTCCGTTGTGTACCTTTCCCGCTTGGTTGGGAAAACCTGATGCAGCCAGGAGCCAACAGCGATGTAATAGTACTAAAATAGAAACCAAAGCACAGGACTGAGGTCCGTGCTGATGTTCCGATACCATTAAATGCTTTTGCTTCCGTGCATCGTTTCAGACAACTTCCTTCAGAGCCCACATTCAGCCGGTGCGCCGCCAGCTGCACTGACTCCAGGTTGAGTGCCAGATCAGGTTCAGTGTTTTGGGGTTAACCTTCAGAGCCCTAAATGGTCTGGGACCAGCCTGCCTTTGGGACCCCCTCTTCTGGTAAATCCTCCAAAAGAGCATTACACTCCAATGATAAAAACTTACTGGAGATCCCTGGCCCAAAGAGCGTCCAGCTGTCCTCAACCAGAGCCGGGCCCCCGACCTGGTGAAACACTCTTCCGGGCGAGATCCAGGCCCTACGGGACCTAATGCAGTTCCGCGGGGCCCTGCAAAACAAGAGTTGTTCCACCAGGCTTATGGTTGAGGGCAGCGACGGTTCCTCCATCTCAGATCGGCCTCTCCCCCCGTATTTACCCTCCCCCCGGAACTTTTACACCATCTATTAGCTGTGAATGTTTGAGTGTATTTTATTGTATTTATTGTCATTTAGAAGTATTGATGTTTTAACTGCATAGTATGTTGGAGAAGACTTGGACTGCAAGGAGATCGAATCAGTCAATCCTAAAAGAAATCAACCCTGACTGTTCCCTGGAAGGCCAGAGACTGAAGCTGAAGCTCAAATACTTTGGCCACCAGATGAGAAGGGAGCCCTCACTGGAGAAGAAGACCCTGATGCTGAGAAAGACCTGAAGGTCAAAGAAGAAGGGGACGGCAAAGGATGAGATGGCTAGACAGTGTTATCGACGCAACGAACATGGGGTTGAGCAAACTCTGGAGCACGACGGAAGACAGGAGGGCCTGGCGTGATGTGGTCCATGGGGTCAACGAAGAGTCAGACTCGACTGTGCGACTGAACAACAACAACATGTTTTTATATGTGATATTACCCGCTTTGAGCCCTGTGTCACAGGGGAAGGCGGTCTATAAGTCGAAGGAAATAAAATAAATAAAAATTCATTCAAACACAGAGCAAAGGGCCTTGAGGAATGCTGCGAGGGCCCTTCCAGAGTCCCTCAAAATCCAGCAGCACATGGTGCTTTTTGTAT